ATGTTGACATAGTAAAATAAAATATCATTGAAATAACAAATATTGTAGATACCGAAGCTAGTGAAAACAAGCCAGTTAGCCAGCCACATGTACGCATGAGTGGCTACAGCCAATAGGCAAGTTGGCTAAAGTAGCTTAGAGCTAGCTGAGAGATAAGCTACTTAGCCACTTTTAGCTACTTAAGTTTAAGTTTAAAATGAAAGTTTCAAACGCTTTTTTTTGTTATTAACATTGTTTTTGCTAACCATAAGTATTGTTTTTCTGCATTGTTCTTTTATTGTATTTCTTTCTTGCATTTCTGTGATACACATATTAACCTTAAATCTAATAATGGCTGAAAAGGTAAGGTTTTTTATTTTGATACTTTACTAGATCTACTGCAAAAACAGTGACGTCTGAGCTATTGTATACTGTGATCAATGGGGGCATGATTGTAATAAAAATTAAAGAATTGACAATAAACTAAAACAGAAAGTTCACGAACTGATATTGACAATTCATAAGTAGCCTCACAGTTTTTTACTTGTTTGTTACCCGGCCATTGGGTGAACTACAATGGCAAAACCACGAATTTTACAATAAGAACGATTGCACTCTTTCATAGAAATCTCTTGTAGCCATCTATGCCTCTCTTCCCGTAATTTAGTTTTTCAATTGTTTAAATTGTAAAATTCATGGTTTCCTTTTATAATTCACCTAGATGACATTGTAAAAAAAGAAAAAACTCGAAGAAAACTTCAGCGGCCCTTCTCAAAGACCAATAAAACGAAATTAGCAGTCCACTTTTCGATTTCAACATTTGGCTGCATCTGCAAAACGAACATAAATTCTCGTATAAAAGCGTACAAATTTTTCTAGATAAAAAGATGCCGAAATCGAAAAGTGTGCAGCTGAGTTCTGTGTATTGATCTTCATCCAGGTCGAACGTATAGATAGCTGCCAATGAATTGTCGATATCGATTGTGAAGCTAAATCCGACTGATCAACTTCAACTGCAGTTGGCCTTAACATGTCGTCTAGGGGTTAACGGGATCAATTGTGAACAACTTTTTCCACCACATTTTCAAACAATTTTTTATAAGAGCCATCACCCAAAGGCACCAAATTGTTGACCACTTCTACACCATCTAACATATTCAATATTAATCGCCATCATATCCAAAAAGTGTCAAAAATTCGGTAGGCTTTGAGTGGTGCAATATCTTATGAAAAATATTTTGAAAATGTGGTGGAAAAAAGCCACTCTAAAGTGTTGGATTAATGTGATGGACAATTTTTTGACCATTTTGTTGAGAAAAGTCTCTTTAAAGTGATAATGTTTGATTTGATGTGTTTAATGTGTTTGGTTAAGTAGTGGACAATAGTTAAATAGGTCAATGGTTGACAAAACAGTGAAAAACGGTAAAAAATTGGTTAAAAAAGCCGATGCCGTTCAATTTAACCAATTTGCACAAAAAATGTGCTGCCATCTGTTGTTTGTGCGGATGCTGCCATCTATCGGCATTTAAATTTCTGAAAATTTGGGAGTGGGCCAATGTTCACCAAAAACCATACAGGTATTCTTTGGCCTAATATGAACCTATTTTCAAGATCTTGATAAAATCGGAATTATAAAAATTGAGTTATCGCGGCACACAGATTTCTGATTTCATCTTATAGTCTTCGCTTCGCTCAGACAATTACTTTCATTGAAACTAATTCATTTTATTTTTGAAAGGTACCTGTTGCTGGAATAGATTGGCCGTGCACAAGTAAAAGTTTGGCAAAAATAAATGGCGAAGTTTATGTACATTTGCAAGCAGATTGGTACGGGAAACCTAACACAATTACGAATGAAGAAGGTAGTGAAGATGAGCTAGAATTCAAAGAGAGAGACCCAGATATTTTCACCATTGAGGAATTACAAGCACAAACAGCAGAAACGAAAAAGAGGAAGCGAGGAAATAACACTTACGCTTGTCCACTCTGTGGGAAAACATTTTACCAAAGGAAAGAAAGTGCAAATAGACATTTAAATGGAGGACCTGATAGATTGGCAGCGTGCCCAACCAGGAAAGCCGATCCTAATGATGATCTAAAAACTTTTTGTGATAAACCGATAATTGTTAAAAAGCACAGATGAATTTGTAATTGAAGCTAATCACGCTAATAAACTTGATTGGATTTAAACTTGAATTAACTTTTCCTTAAATATTAACAAATTTAAATCTGGTGGGACTTGGTGGGACTAAGTTTGTATACAGAAAAATTTATTTTAAACATGATGGCGCCACTTTTGAATTTGGTGGGACTTGGTGGGACTTTTGTCCGGTGAGTTACTTTTAAATTTTAAGAAACATATGATCCACTTTTGTGTATCTTCTGTCCGTTTTATAAATGTATTTTAACTTACTGCTTGTTTTATGTTTTAGTAAAATAAGGGGTAAATATTTAATATTGTTTACTTTTTGCTATTTTACCCCTCAATCTCTTTTCATTTCCCCCTTTAGTTCACCTAGATGTCAGCACTCCAAGGCAAAAACTCAATACACTGTAAATGCAATACAAAATTTCTTACATTTGTTAGCTTTGGAAATAAAGGGTGTTGCGTCTTATTCTCGCCAGCTATCTCATCCGAATGGAGATTAAACAACTGATAAAGATGAAAATGTCCAATGGAAATCTTATAAATCTCCATTGTGATAAGATAGCTGGCGAGAATAACACGCAACACCCTTTAAAATTACATTGCTTTGAATTTTGTTTTCATGAAAACGTTGCCTGACACATGTGAAAACACTCATAGATTATCAGATTAGCACATGTAATTTCCTATGTTTTGTTTCAGTCAAGTTGATAAAAAATTCATGTCAAAACTAGATAATCAACAAAGAAAGTTGAACCGTTTGAATATTAGATGTTGCTTCCTGTTTCGATAAACCATTTATATTAAGATAATAATGGTGATAGCTCTATGATAATTACCTCTGAGATTTAAATTCAAATCTGAACAACAACCGGAGAGAGAATTGTTTAATGATTGACTAGGAATAGATGCATCTCAATAAGTTAGGTTTCTATGAAAATTGCAAGGATACCAATTAATTACATCAATTGTAGATTAATTTTCTAACCAGGTAACAAATATTACGAAAGATTTTCACTATTGTTATAACATTGAGTTATTTCAAGTTTAGATTTCCTCTATTCCTAAATCCAGAATTGCACAGTTAATTGCTTTAAGTAATCAAATAACAAGTTTAGGTTATGAGGTTATCATCTATGATTAAATTGATGTAACCGATAGGAGGGGCTACATAATTTGCGACTCGCATAGAGTCTGTGTAGAAGGATAACCTTTTTCGAGTTGAGTATTTTTTCTGTAAAAATTTTGCAGTGTAGGTTCATATTATTTCTTAATCAGTTACAATTCGATTAAATTGATTATTTGGTTTTCCTTTTTGTTTGTGGCTTATTGCTGTAAGCAATCAAGCAACTTGTTAACCAACTGCTAATCCTTATCATGGCATTATCGCTGCACAATGATCTTTCACTTTCTTGGTGGGTTTGAAGATTTCCTATTCTTATCCCTTGATTATAATGTGACATCCTTTTGACTTTTTTGTTTGTTTTTTTTGTTAATTTCATCTTTTCTTTACAATCAAAATGATTATGATTTAATTTGACTTTAATTTTGTGCTTTTGGCCTTGCTGTCGTTTTCGTTTCGCCTGGTTATCATTTTGTTTTGTTTATTTTGTTTATTTTGATCCTGCCGTTGCTTTGGTTATCCTTTTTGCTTGATTTATTATATTTCGTGAGCTTTTCTATAAAATTATCAAAATGGATAGTGAC